TTTAAGATAATATCATGCATTTCGCAATCCTCCCGTTCCACCCTCTGGTCTTTTTCGTTGTTATGTGTTGTCACTTGATTTTAAAAAAAGGTTTACATAGGTATATTTTTGTAATATAAAGCATACGTAAAAATTGTCCCTTCCTGGAATCAAGGATGCACGGACTGCCTGGTCATCCGCCGGTACTAGCCACACAAGCTAGCATCAATTCCCATGCTGGAATGCACACAATGAAAAAGCACATGTAAACATCATATAGCTCACTTCATCATATCAGATAAATCAAGAAGCAAGATAAAATTCATCATTCTTCATATGGCTTATTGGAGAACAACCTTTTTGCTACAAAATTTATGACCTCATCACGTTATTTAGTCGAACAGGACATCCAATCCTACCTAATTAGTATCCATTTTTATGCAATACTGGCACTTGCACCCCTCCGCGACACACTCGTCATGTCCGCCGACCCATACAAGGTCGATGCATGCCTGGTTGCAGCTTTTGTTATCACATGGCTTTGGTGATGGGATAATGCTTGTCGTACAGGGTTCTCCTTCAATGGCAGCTGACGCCTTCGTTACCACATCTCCAAAATCCCACCATGAGGAAAAGGGAAGATCAAAACTTGGCCATTATTTGTTGGACGAGATTTTGAAGGAAGATATTACATGAACAAATGGGCACCTGGTGCAAGGACAAGGAAGGCGACGGCCAAGAGAAACATCTAGCTAGTCCTCATCTTAGATAGTTGTTGTATTGAAGGAAAGACTTCACGATCGTTGTCTGGCTCTGTGAGTTCTGGAGGAGAACATTATGGACATGCCATTTATACTGAATTTTTTTTGAGGGAGCCATTTATACTGAATTTATTGTATTAAAGTTACAAGATTTGTGATATTATAATTAATGTCAAAATTATCAGTTTCCAAATATTGTCATCCCGTGATAATATCTATCTAATATTACTCCCCTACATATATCTGTTTTTTGTTTGGTTATAGTATTACTCCCCTAATATTACTCTCCTACGTATATTTAAAATCAAGCACGACTATTCTGCTATGCTTGCCATGCTCTTTCTTAATAAATCTTGTCTCTTTGGATTTGATGGATTCGGAATATATACTACTTGATCCGGCTTTTTCAACGGAAGCAATTTCATGTTCCGGATCATCCTTCTTATCAATTCTACTAAGTGGAGAGGTTTTAATATATTCGGCATATGTATTATTCGATTTAAAATTTGGAGCTTCGAGAGCAAAAAAAGCTGCTCCAACAAATGGTCCATATGTAAAAAAAATACATCTCCGCCTCCTAGTGATGTAAAATTTAACACCTCACGATGCAAATTACATCTCCAGAGGCAGGAGATGTAAAAATTGTGGCCGCGCGCCAACGCCCAACCGTTCTTCATTCTTTTCCTCCCTTCTTCATCCCACCCCCACCGCCCCGCCGCAGCTCCCCGCTCAGCCGCCGCCCCGCCGTAGCTCTCCTCGACGCTGCCCCGCCGTAGATCCATCCCCCCACCGTCGATTCCACCCAGCCTGGGCCGCCGCCTGCCGCCGCATCGCGTCCGCCCTC